GAACTCTAGATTGCGTGAAACCCGACACACATTCGGCTAGTTTTATAACATTTGACGCTGTTCTATGTCATAGGTTTTATTTTTACGAGGTATTCTAGAAACCGGGGGTCAATGTAGTAGACTGACCTTAGTTCGTGTAATTATGACGGCACCGGCTTGATTCGTTTGAATTAGCGATGCAGGCCTTCGGCTAGACAATGAAACAGATTTCGAAATTGTGGAGACCTTCTTGGGTCCAGTGGGGTTAAGTACTTAGACGGGCTATCTGAAGTTTCGAATGTAGCCATCCCTCTCTCGCAAAGGAGATGCTAGCATGAGTAACGGTGATAGAGAGATCTGGAACTACGTAAACAGCGTTTCGGAGTAGTCCTGCAGTGGGCGGTGGTGATGATGCGTCGGCGCATTATCGGGCGAGATACGACCCGGATGCGTAGCGATGGGCTGGACCATCTGTAAACAAAGCTCGATTATAATGCCTACATAGCAACAAATAAGCATTAAAGTGGCAATTAGAAACCCGTTATTATTTCCGCGACATGACTAATGTGTAACTAAAGACGAATTGTTTGATTTAATTATGTCAGTTATCTAGTTATATGATGTTCTCTCATCATCATCACCATTTCAGCTATACAGCGTGCACTGCTGAAAATCTACCCCGAAATCCTGAGGCTCTTTTCTATTTTTTTTAAACAGAATCATCTGAAAATAATGATTACCTACTTAGGTATCTCTCTTTGTTTTTCGGTGTAAGTAGGCACAGATTTAAAATTGATTAAACTTATCAATCACAACTCGATAAAAATAATATCGTCACCTATTGTTTATGTAGGTAGGTATGTGTCATAAATAAGATTCGGGAGCAATGCGGTGTCTTTTTCTGTGTGATATTGATAAAAATTTAAAATATTCCATTTTTAGCTAAGGTCATATCTTCGTTTACATAATTAGGATAAACATAATTATTTAGAGCAGTCTGTAACGTCTTTAACGGTCTTTCTTGATAAGCAATGTAAGTTATCGAAATTGGTAGAGCCTCGGCTGTCGCCATAATATCTACGAGTATTGCAAGCAAGTGTAAAGCCGTAGGGCTTCAACTTTTGGTACGCATCTCTACATTCAACCTACAATTAGTATTCCGTGACGCATTATCAATAGTTCGTCGCTGTCAAGTTAACGTCGCCTATAAATCTGACCGCAGCGCCGTCTGTAACGAACGCGACAATACGTGCTCTTTTGTACGTTCGACAGCACGTCAAGTTTAACACCGTGGCCTCTTATCTAGTTGTAATAGGAGCTATTTTGAAACAAAAATGTATAGTCTAATGTGCTGTCGTCTGTACATTCGCAATCAGTCGTTAACCCGCCACTCACCACTTGTGCAACTCGCCCAATTAATGCCGACCGAGTCCCTCACCGGACGACGGCTGCATCACACGATTGTGACCTCTACTCCATAAGAAACAAAGCACCCCAAATATGAGGGTACACGCAACCTAACATAATTATGAAATATAACATAGAGAGGTCAAGATGATAATGCGCCGACAATGGAATGAAAATAATTGTCGTTATCATATGGAAGCGGTTTTTGTAATAACGACATGATTACAATGATTAGTCTCTTACAAAATTCTTTAAATCTTTGAAGGTATCTTGGTACATTTATATGCAGTGCAGACATTTTTCAATGTTACGCAGAGGTCTAGTTTTTATAGGTGCTAGAATAATAAACACTATTTAACTATTCGACCTTTAAATTTCTTAGAACATGAAATGTTTTTTTATTCCATTGGTCAAATAATAACACATTATGGGCTATTTATAAAATAATTGCGATAGTAGATACATTATTAATAGGTACTTACTCTACACCTGATAGCAATGACCGTAATGTTCTCATTTGTTTTAGGAGCTTAGGAGAGACACAATAGAGGCGATATTTCCTACCCTTATCATATTCTCCTGAAATTGACCTGACCTCTGATTTTTGTCATAAAAGGCCAGGAACATTAATTGCGACGTCACAAATATAGCGATGGCGCGTTTCGAATCGTAAGGTCGGAAATCTCTTCCGCTACTGAGTTGAAATCGGAAAACGTAGCTCTACTTGTTTTGTGAGATCCGAAGTTTGACCGATCTGAAAAGCTTTGGCAGTTATTAATAATAGAATATGAAGGCAAGAGAAAACAAAAGATTTTTATTGGCTTTAATTAATATTTTGTTAATTATTTTCAGTAATGAGTCATTTCCTTCTTGACATGTACGATTAGTTTACCAACGTCGGTAGTTGACAACAAATTCTGAATTGTATTTTTATGCGATGTTTGTAGACGTATGAGCGACGTGTTGTGCGAGAAAACATATTACGCAAATGGACTTGAGACATGGTTTTTTTGTTTGTTTTTTAGAAAGACCTTTATTGTTAAAAAGTTCAGGAACAATCTCTGCGTTGTGACTATGTTTAGGTAAACGTAAACATAAACGTTAACGTAGTGTTTTAAAATGATTTTAGGAGAATGATAAAAGTTCTCGTATCCACCATATTAATTTACATACTCGTATCTTTATTATCATTACTAGCATATTGAACAAAATTGAAACTAAATAGGTATCTTGTGTGTACCAAAAAACATTTTTTTTGTCTCTCTCTTAGTTAAAATTATGATAAGTACAAAAATACATAGTAGGTAAGTTAACTAACTACATAGAACATTTAATTAGGCGTTATGTAACTTCATATAATAATATACAGCAATAAAATTCTTATTTATGATATAATTTGTGCATCAGTAGTAATATTTATTATATCAATATTAATTAACGTTGAGTAATTTTTGTTTCTACATTACAAGTAGGTTCGAAAATTTCGACGGGTTCATCCAGTGTCTAAGTAGCTCAGTTGGAAGAGCAGTCGCCCGGCAAGCGGAAGGTCGTGGGTTCAATTCCCGCCTTAGGCAGTTCGATTTTTTCAAGTTATTTATAATTTTCAAAGTAGGTACGAGTTGCGATACTAAGTAGGTACGAGTACCATAAATTACGTCATCGATTTTTTCAGATTTAGACCCCCCCCCTACAATCATCCTATCGTCATTTCTTAATGACCCCTTCTCCCAAAATTGACGTCATTACCAGTTTGACAAAATTAAAACATTGCAGATTTGAGAAAAATAGGGTATTACTGTATTTGTGTACCTACATCTATGTTGCATTAGGTATGTATGTTTATTATGAGTTATAGTTAGTATTGTACGCGCCTTAGCCGCCTCTCACATTTGCAATCTCACTTACTAGGTGTGCTGGAAGAAATTTCTTTTTAGAAATAATCTTTTTGTACGTGAACAATAAACTATAAATAAATAAATATGAATGACGTCAATTTCGAAACATCCCTATCTATCATTTACCGTCATCCGCAGACCAACCCCCTCCCCTAATTTAGAATGACGTAATATATGGACGGCCCCTTAGTATCGCAAAATAATGCGCATTATTGCTCTATGAAGGAACAAAACTTTTTATCAAATTCCAGCATAGAGTCTGTCATATCTGCATAAGCTCGAATCTGCATAAGTTTAATCAAAAATTTAACGGAATTTAATGATTAAATGACAGGTAGGTACAGGGTATGTTGATGTCTGGCTCGTGTTGCCATCTTTCGTGCCACATGACCTGGGTTGCTCAATTACTCACCGTTTGTTTTCATTACAGTAATGTGGCAATATGTCGTATTATCGAAACTGCCCAGTAATGGACGCCATTGTGTTCCGCGGACTATTATGATAACAATCCACTTTAGGCACGTCGGGGATGCCCACTTGTTTTCACGGCGTACATCTTCCGTACGATGAGAAGAAAGTATACGAAAAGTATAGTAATATTCATTATGCAGAGTTAGACACAGTGGGTGGGCGGGGCACATAGCTCGTAGAGATTATGGCCGTTGGGGCAGAAAAGTTCTCGAGTAGCGACCACGGGCTGGAAGACGTAGCCTGGGCAGGCCTCCTACTAGGTGGACCGACGATCTGGTAAAGGTCGCGGGAAGAGCCTGGATGCGGGCAGCGCAGGACCGTGCATTGTGGAAAACCTTGGAGGAGGCCTTTGTCCAGCAGTGGACGTCATTTGGCTGAAACGAACGAACGAGAGTTAGACAAAAATTATGATTTTGGTACGAACGATGGCATATCGAGACCAAACTCGTACTTATTTTACTACAAAAATATAATAGTCTAATGCTAGTTGTGTACAGCTTTCAGGATATTAGAGCCTTTATAATCAGTATAATAAGCTTAAAGAAAGCAGTATTTAAAATAAATCACGATACACGATAGTACAACCTCCCAACGTCGACGTATGCTTTCTAGAGAAAAATAACTGATATGGACCACTATGGTAATTTCTAAAGCGAGGCTAGTTTCACACCCTACAGTCTCCTAGAAAGCAAAACCTAGACAGGCTATATTCTATCTATAGCCTGCAATTATCTAATTATCCTAACGCTCCCTAGTGAAACTGTAATTGCCATTTCAAGAAGAAAATTTGATGAATATTTTATGAGTACATTTTCATAATTGCTGTTTGATTATAGTACTTATACTAACGAATGCCCGCAACTACGTTCGCGGTAAGACGTAAGACATTAATTTGGGTAATGGGTACATTTCTAGTTGTTTTTAGAGAGGCCTTTCCACCACTCATGACTTAATTGTTACTTTGCTACTACTACGTAGATAGTTACCTAATTTAATACATTTTCACTAACTTTACAACAAATATTTTATTTAAAAAAGTTCACTTTTATCTAATTGACTCAATATGAAAAGGGTTTGTCTATGAAAGGATTAAAGTAAATCTATCTTTCTCTCTACCTCTAGAGATGAATACAGCTGCTCTATTTTGCAAAAAATCTCCATAGTAGCTTTGTGATAAAACAAAATTAAACTTTATGAATATATCCTGTGATCATAAAATGCTTTACACAATATATTTTTTGTCTACAGATGCGTCGGGTTGCCGAATTCAAGCGCGACAACGCGAATCTACTGGCAGGGCTGCTCCCTGAGCACGAGGAGATCGGATTCATCAACCACAGAATCGCCAATGTCCTTGTAAACCGAGACCACAAAGGCAGGAGGGTGCTCATCGTTAATTGCGGAAGTATGTGTAAAATTTAACACACAATTTAACAACTTTACCCTTTTGACCAAAGCACACAGCTTAATAGTTAACAGTATTTAACAACTTCTCCCGCTTGGCTCAAACAAAACTATCTTAAGAAATACTACCATAGTACCAATGCTGAATACCAGCAAAATGCATAGTCACAATTTGTTTATGATTCGTGTTTACATACCTCAATAACACTTTATACCTTACCATTCAGCATTGCTTCAGAAGTTCAGCAGAATAACATAGTGAGCTATTCTTTCTTTTTGAATGTTGTTAACATTAATTGTTTTCTAACTTTTTGAAAGCTTTAAGTTAGTTACCATAAAGTACTCATCGCGATCTTTTAACTATTCCTACGTTTTAAATTCGCAGGTTTATGGGACCCAAAGAAGATCACCGTGGACCAAGTGTTCCGGATCTTCTACCTGATCCACGTGGCGTCTGTACTGGAGACGGAGTCGCAGATCATGGGCTGCATCATCATCATGGACTTCAGCAATATGGGATGGGCACAGGTCAGTTTTACTTTACAAAATCAAAAATTCAAATCAAATTGTCAATCGTTTATTTCAAGTAGGCTCCCTCCCAAAGAGCACTTTTTTATGAGTACACGTCCCAACCCTACCACTGCTTCGGGACAGTAATACTAACTGCTTACACTAATAACACCCGTATTCACAAACATTACTTTGGGGCCTNCATTAAGTAGCGGTTAAACTCATAATCAGATCACTAAGATTTAACGATTGTAGTGTTAGGTACTCCAATATTAAAGACGGCTGTACTTCGTTCGTTTCACTCGAATGATGTCCACTTTTCGACAAAAGCCTCCCACAAGGATTTCCACAAAGACCGGTCTGGCTTTCGGATATTGTCATTACCTACCTAATATCCGAAATTGTATTGTTGCTTAAATAGGAAGTATATGTAAAGTCGTCAATTATGAGGTTTCTTTTTGTTAAAATAATTATAATGTCATCAGGCTAATAAAATATTCATAAAAATTATGCCAATTTAATTACGCGACAGTTATTACAGACTAATTAGTGCATAAGAATTACAAATGGATTTATTTATTGTTATACCAATTATCAAGTTTTAAACAACTTAGTTCATCATTATCTGATTGTTTTGGTATTTTGTGTTATTAAATTCTCATTTTTTCAATGTGAAATGTCATTTAGTGAACACCCTTTAGAAGCGAATGCGAACCGATGTTATTTTAAAACAACGGTTAAAATTCGATTTGTTTTGAATTTGAAATCTAAACTCAGCCTATCAGTTTCAGTCCCAAATTGTAAACCGGACTATTAAGTTTACAGTTTGCTATTACGGCATTCCTAACCACATCAACCAAGCACAGCAATTAATGAAGTGTTAACAATGCTTTAATAAGATTTATTTTATCTTAAACTCGTAAATTTTAATTATACCTTGTACTAAAATGTAATTCTGTAATTAATAAAAAATACTGATAGGCAATTAGGCATTACCAAAATTAAAGTAAAATAAAAAAGTGTCTTTATACATTTACTGAGTGTTTTAGGGTTGCGTTGTAAATTAAGGAGCCTTTCCATCTGCTCGCGAGAGTGAATAGGCACTTACAGGGCTGTTATATACCATCCTAGACAGCAACTCACTTAACATCAGGTACTACTGTCGTCAAATACCTGCCCCAACGGCCATCGTCTCTACGAGCTATGTGCCCCGCCCACTGCCACTTGATTTTAGCAATATGTATGTGTGTATAGTTAGTATTTATACGGAACTCTAGCGTGAAGTCCGACACACATTCGGCTAGTTTTATAACATTTGACGCTGTTCCATGTCATAGGTTTTATTTTTACGAGGTGTTCTAGAAACCGGGGGTCAATGTAGTAGACTGACCTTAGTTCGTGTAATTATGACGGCACCGGCTCGATTCGTTTGAATTAGCGATGCAGGCCTTCGGTTAGACAATGAAACAGATTTCGAAATTGCGGAGACCTTAGGTCCAGCGGGGTTATTCCGAAAAACGTTATCCAAAGTGTCGATGATGTCTATAATATGCTATCCCTCTCACGCAAAGTGAGATGCCAGCATGAGCGACAGTGATAGAGATACCTGGAACTANTAACACCCGTATTCACAAACATTACTTTGGGGCCTCATAGTGCGCGTGGACGCACTGGGTCCCAAAAACCTATTCATAGACGATACTTCAGTGGTGACAAGCACTATGCGTCCCTTAGAATGAACGCAAAGCTAAGGTAGACAGGGAGCTGTATTACGAAACGCATAGTGTCTATTTACGTCAAAATTTTTAGGTTATTCTCGTTTTTGAGGTTTGTTTGCTTTATTTATGGTTGTATTCGATTAATATCATCTTACAATGGATTACAGTAGTGAAGAGTCATTTGATAATTTTATCAATGAGCAAAGTAGAATAAGTACCAGAAAAGTGATACGGGATTCCCAAAATCCCTTTGATTATTACAATTCAGACGAATTTAGTTTAGGTTTTCCAAAGATGGGGTACTTTTCATACTTTTACCACTGATAAAAGAAGACCTGAGCAAATTAACTGCGAGAGGCCTTCCAGTGCCACCTATATAGGTACCTACATATGTATCAGTTGCTAGTGGCAAATAAAACAAAAAAATTTATGAAGTTTTATTTTCATCAATCTTCAATGGCTAATTTAATTTTATGTATTTGTAACTCATGAATCTTTTTTTATGTTCTAAAAATTCTTTTCTCTTGCTATCAAATTTGTTTCTCTTTGTAGCCCCAACTCGTGCAAAGCCTGGTCTTGTTGTATATTATTCAATGTGGTGCGTTTGATTCTTGTTTCTGTCTTAATCTTCATTCTTCCTACTACTAATCTTTATTTCTTGATACCTGAAAAGCAAATTATGAATTTAATTCCTTTGAGTATACTCTGCTTAGTTATTCCTCATAAATCTACCTACTAATATTTTAAAAACGTTACTTATTATTGGGTGTTGAGAACGTTTGATTGATTCCTGAGAAAGTTCTTTCTTTCTTTGGGTCTTTAAATTATTCCAGCAGGTTTGCAGTTGATGTGTGAGCCTTTGTGAAACATAAATAGGTATGGTTGAGAATTGTAAGTCACTGTTAATTTTCCCTGGCCTGCTTATTCAACTCTATATTTTAGAGAGGATAATGATAGGTATGCTTGTCTTCAATAATAGGCCGTTCTCTTATATTATAGCTACAATCAGCAGCTCTCTTTCGGAAGAAGAAAACGGCAGCTTTTTTGATCTAAAAAATAATGATTGAAACACATTTTCACTATTTTTATTACTGCTCAAGACAGTGTTTTATTATTGAATGAAAATAAACAATAAAATCGAAGTATTCATACTAACCTGATAGTTGTAGTTTTATCCATATTTATTTAATTCAAAAATCCACAAAATAACGACACATAAAAACCGTTGCACCGTTTGAATGACAGGAATGTCATGTCAGTTAGCGGAGTGAAGTGCGTAACATAAGCGAACCAATCACAGAACTCTATTCAACACTCTGATTTTGCATAGTCAAGGGTCGTTTAAGTATTGTTTATGAATTGAACGGCTTGTCATATGGAACGCATTGAGAAATGTCTCATTTCGCATAGCGTTGCTGCTTTGCATAGGTAAGTATCGTTTGTGAATACGGGTGAAGTTACGTAAGATATATTTTGAAGGCACTGCACTGATCCAGTCCATCAAGACCTCTGCTTTATACCTACTTGATTGCATTTTGTAGAAGAGTCAAGCTCAAGTTAGGTATATAATATTTTATTTTTTAGTTACTGCATTACCAATGAGAAATATCTACCTATGTTCTTAAGACAGAAACGGCTCTCCTTTTCAACTGGTTAGCATTTTCCCTGCGGGAAAGTTAGTGTATCTACAATCTACATGGTTATTTTTCCGTTATGAAAAATAAAATGGTAGAGGCCGGAAGAATAAAAAAAATGAAAATTACACACTGCAAAAAGGTACAGATATGAGAGTGGAATGAAATCGTGCCAGCTGTCATTGCTCCTCACTCGATATTATTTGTAGAGCGCGAAATGTTGTCATTATCTTGAAACAAATGTTTTAGTGCAAATCATCATGCATTTACCTGTATATTTTGCTCTCTACTCGTCTGGTGTCATCACGTATGAAAGATCTTCAGAATTAATTGTCAGTGCCGGTTCTAAATAACCACGTAAATAATAGTTATTATTTTAATAGTCACCTTTTTAACATTGTCGGCTCATTACGACTCATTTGATGAGTGTGTTTTTTTAAAATTGACTGTCACGTTCCTTTCAATTAAAATCTTTGATGAGAATAATTATAAACGCCTGTGACTGCACAACGTAAGGCAGATCAAAAATACCAAGTTTTCAGTTAGTATTAAACAGGGTTCGAGGATATATATCAAGGGATATATAGGTATCTTGATATACAGGGTGTTTGGCGCATCGTGTGCCAAAATGATTTGGCAGATAGAATGGGTCATTTCCTATATTTTCAGCCCCCATAACACGTTCCATGCCAGGCGGCTACTTTTATATTAATTTTTTTAGTAATTTCACCAAAATACCCAAATCGCATCATTTAATTTCGATTTAAAAAAAAACTACTAGGTGTAGCCTCAAAGTAAATATTTTGTTTTGACGTGCATTGATATAGGGTTGCATCAAATCTAAATTTACTGGCAAATATCATGTAGTTTTTTTTTAATTCAGCTTTGAAGTTTTCCGAAAAGTAAAAAATGGACTGAACATTTAAGTTTACATGGCTATAAAANAGTCAAGAGGTATGACTCGTGTTACTACTTTTTACACTATGGAAGTTGTTCAGATTGAGTTTGTGATTAACAATATAAGATGACTCATATTAATATACACAAAAAAAACTATGTATTGTTGGTTAGTGAAAAAGAATGTAACTTAATATATAGCACAAAAAGTAAAAGACAAAAGATTATTTATTTTGTGTATAATGATTCAATTAGACCATTAACCACAAAAGTTTTGTACATGTGTAAAATGTTATAAGTTACTTAGATCAAAAACATTTGAAAATCGCAACTAATAATTTGGTTAATTATTTGGTGTAAAATGATAGAACTTAGCCCAAACGTCAGACTAAAGGAAAAAATAATGTCGTAGTTTTGAAATCAAAGAATTTTAGTTAATAGTTTTAATAAATAATGGTGAATATCTACTAGTAAAACATATAATTGAATTCATAGTGCCTAACGTTGTCAATAAAAGTACTTAATAAGTGCATTATCGAATTCACAAGATCTCCAACTACCAGAACTCTTTATAAACAAAACTCATCACCTTTGACAACAAATTGAACTGGGCGAGTCATGTCGTGAACAAAATAAAAATAGCCTATATAGCATTCCAGCAGTGCAAGAGACATATTGGTACTAGAGAGGTCTCAACCCAAAGATAACACTTTGGCTCTACACGTCGGTTAATGGCCCTCTTACACATATTATTATGGATCACTTGTGTGGTGGCACAGAACACAACTATCCACAGCAAGATCAAAACACCAAAGCCTGCAACGCCTAGTAAGCATAGCGGCCACTAGTTGCATGAGAAACACTCATCTAGCTAGCTACTTGAGAACCTTCTGAATCTTAGACCTTTAGACCTCATCATTCAGGAGGAAGCACAAGCAGCCGCTCTAAGACTTAAAGGTAAGAACGGCATATAGAAGCAAAACAAGGAGACAGGACATTCCACGATCCTGCACAAAATCCTAATAAAAGAAATACCTCTCACCGAGGCACCCATCGACAGAATTCCCTGTGTTCACATCTTCGACTGAAGATATAATATCCAGCTTACAGCGGAAACGCAAGATTGCTCTGGAATCAATGAAGTTAGGATATTATTATACACAGACGGCTCCAAAACCCAAAAAGGTACGGAAGCTGGTGTCTTCTCGTTTGAGATAAATAGGGTATTATATGATTAAAACACTTGGTTATAGAAGCACCTTTTATTATTTTTCTTTGGCAATAATCATTGATTTATTCTTATCTATTATATAAAAGAAAGTCGTGTTAGTTACTCCACTTATAACTCAAGAACGGCTGAACTGATTTAGCTGAAAATTGTCAGGGAGGTAGTTTAGAGCCAGGAGAAGGACATAGGATACTTTTTATCCCGTTATTTATTGCCATTAAGGCGGAACAAAGTTCGCCGGGTCAGCTAGTATAATATAAAAGTGAAAAATAGGGAATAATAATCCCAACTAATATTATAAATGCGAAAGTAACTCTGTCTGTCTGTCTGTCTGTCTGTCTGTTACGCTTTCCCGCTTAAACCTCGCAACTGATTTTGATGAAATTTGGCATAGAGATAGTTTGAGTCCCGGGAAAGAACATAGGATAGTTTTTATCCCGGGTTTTGAAACAGGGACGCGCGCGATAAAGTTTTTCTGTGACAGACAAAATTCCACGCGGGCGAAGCCGCGGGCGGAAAGCTAGTATTATATACTGCCAAAGACAAAGGAAGCCGACTTATAGTATAAAACAAAGTCACTTTCGCTGTCTGTCCCTATGTATGCTTAGATCTTTAAAACTACGCCAGGTCCAAAATCACAAAAACCGGACTTTGTGTTTCATGTGGCCGGACATTTTACCCTTAAAGTCGNTTAAAGTATTTTCAGGATTTCATTGGTATTATTTCTATTTAAAAGATGCATTTTCACTGATACACGTATAATGAAACAAAATTGCGTTGTGTTTACTGTGAAAACTGGTACAATACATATCAATGTGGTCACGCATCAGTGAACTCTTCGTGCTTAGCTATAAAGGCCATAGCCGCTTGCACAAATGCTTTGGCACGTGTTCTTGCCGATAAACTCTTTTCAGTAAATTGTTCTGTACAGAGTGCCACTTGTAGGTGCTAGGTCATTGTTCTAGTATCAAAACAATACAAGTTCCGCCTTTGTATCTATTTTGGGTATCATATCTACGGCTAATACTGATAAATTAATTATTATTGATTAACGTCCTGATTTTGTATAAAAATGCGATAATTTATTATCTATTTCTTAAAGGATATACCTAATTCACATAATGTTATTGGCTGGACATTCACACAGTCATGCCAAAAAATGAAAATTCCGATTCCAGAAATAGGAAAAAAAGTTATATTTTTGTGTTGGCATAGAAATTGCATACAGTATTTTTGTTTGCGGTTTCCGATCATTCTTATATGACAACATTTTATTTTCATACAAATAGCATTTGAATAAAATTATGTGGCGGTTGCGCACTGAGTCATTGCTTGCATTTATTTAGGTACAATCCAAAGTACAATAAAATAAGTGACAAAGTGCGGTATGTCGACAAAGAACGCCTGGCGCGGCTGCGGGTATCATCGCCCTTTCATTGTCCCTTTATCTTTGTTTATATGCGTTACGAAACGCAATTTGTCATTCCTCATCACTATCTAAACAAAGATGGTTCGTCCGGGTGTGCATACAGTCCAGAGTGCAATAGATTAAAGTCCTATTGTATTACTTACTTATTATTTATCATAGAAAAGTTATCGCCACATTACTTCCTGCAAGAGTTCACCAACTAAGTCCACAATGAGGTCATATTATTTTTTAAATACATTTAAATTTTTGGATGTACCTACCTATTATATGGTTAAATTTTATTTTCATTCATAATGTAGATTCTGAATTATTCCTGACACATATCGCAAACCCATATAACAGACGGGACGCTTCGTGGGTACATATTATGCAACATAACTTCTGAAATCAGCTGATGTGATTTTCGTGAAACACGTTAGTGAGGCATTTTAACCTCTTTAAGTATGCCGCATATTTTGCAACGTCGTCACACAGCTGTTGTTTGCCTCTAGTGTTATTTCAAAAATAGCGTGTTACTGTATAATATTGCAATTAAAACTGTTCATATACACTTTGAAAGTAATAAACAACATATTGAAGAAATCCGTCGGGCATATCCGTTATAAAAAAAACTAGTTAGCTGGCAGTGCTAATCTGTGCTAATGTAAAATATGTAATTAGAAGTAGCGAAGTCAAATCACGAATGTCATTAGAGGTCAAAGTTAGAGACGCTAAATCGGGCATTTGTCTTTCCAATCACGCATGAGGTTTATTGTAGAGCCATTATCGAATTCCTAGAGGTTGTATGAACATTCACTTCTTCCTGATCTTGTTTATCTGGTATCGGGAAACTGTGAAGGAAAATGTGACCGCCTTGGTTCCAGTTCAAGGGGCGTCACGTCCGAGGCTGGTGTTGTTTATTCACGAGGTGCAAGCGTGAATAATCCGTAACAAGTGCACTGTAGGTGGGTAAAATCCCCGGAAGATTAGACTCGAGAGATTTTTTTTAAATAAGATTGTTTTTGCTATGGAAGCTAGTAAAGAGAATATGGTTTCCGGCTCGCTCTATAATTCGAGCAGCTGGCCTGGTGGATTGTTCATGTGCTAAAACCGAGCAGTGGTTGCATGTTCGAATCACACTGGAATCAAATGTAGGTAAATATCGTGAACAAGAGCTTATGTAATATAGTCTCATGGATGGCTATTTAGGACACTCAAATGTATTTGTTCAAGTACCTATGTCCTTTACGTTATTGTCAACATATTACAGACTGCAAAATTTGGGGTAACTGGGAAAACTATTTATAAATTAACAAATTAGTCATCAGCAGAAGTTTACCTACAAAATACCCAAGCGTCTTCAAAGAGCCGCATTCCGTTATTATATTTCGTAATCTCATTTACCTATTGTAGTTCAATATTTTAGTCAAACATCCGCTCTCGTCGGAGGAAGTTGGTTCCCACCTGTATAAGGACATAGCTGGCCAATGTCAATAAACAAACACCAAGTCTAGCGATATGGTAATCAGGATAAGTGCTTCGTCAAACACTAAATTATGTTTTTCGATGCTTCGTGCATATATCCAGTTATGATCGATATACAACACATGTGTGTGATTGATGCACTCATTGCAGTTGGACTAACTCCTAAGATGTTTATACAAGTATAGTTACCTATGTGCAACCCAGACTTATCATATTTCACAGTTCGTATCGTTCATACCACCGTTCATATTTCTTAATTACTCTGGTAGGAGCTGTCCTACGAAAAACAACGTTTGTTGTTTCAATTTCTGCAGCCTTGGTACCTTTTTGTCACGACTAATGACAATAAATAATATTTACCTGGAAGCTTCGTCCTTGGCCTTTCCACCTGTCTGATCGTATTTGATCTCGGCTTTGACCCGTGCTTGCGGTTAACGACAAGCCACAATTGGGTTAAACCGAGGATTTTAGATTAAAGTTTCAGCTAACACGTTCATTATATTTAATATCTGTGAGCCGTAACTTCTGAGATAAAATTTGAGCACTAAACTGTTACGGGTGATTGGTTAATCCTTGAACGATCACAACATAACCATTAGAATGTCTTATTATAGCATACAGTCAAGATTTGTCACGCGTAATCGATACGCTCTTTACGTTTATTAATTTAGTTACGTGTGAATACGGGTTAACCTGTCTGGCCAGCGTGGAGAGTGTGACCGAAACCTTCCTTTTGCCTCTGGTAAATTAGAAAGGGTCATTCTCCTGCCATGGAGACTAAATAACCTGATGTTTTTCCAGTCAGACCAGGCCTGGGCTAAACAGATTTCGAATAGAAAAGGGAAAAGCAAGAGAGAAAATACATATAACCACGTAGGTATGTAGTATGAAAACCTAAGGGTATTTTCTTTTATTCCAGGCTATGGCGTTTACACCGTCTTCATCGAAGCGTCTACTGACGTTCATCCAGGAAGCCATGCCCACGCGCCTCAAGGAGGTGCACTTCATCAACCAGCCGATGGTCTTCAACGTCGTCTGGAACATGTTCAAGCCTTTCATCAGGGAAAAGCTGCGGAATAGAGTAAGTAGCCTTCATTTTCTATAACCATTATTTGCCCTTGATTATGATAATACGTAATTTTACATTTCAAATGGTATGTTCTACGGTGGCAATAAATTAAAAGGTTTGAACGTCAAATTACTTGGCTCCAATTTGCGACTCTATTAAGTAAGAAAAAAAAAATGCTAGGTAAAACGAAGCCTTAAAGAAACTCTCTTGTATAAAGTCGCGTTTAGCAGCGTATCATTTTCAGCCATAGGACATCCACTGCTGAACATAGGCCTCCTCCAATGATTTCCAAAATGGCCGGTTGGTGGCGGCCGTTACATGTTAGCAGCGTATCCCAGGAACAAATTATATGTATAAATGTGTGGCTTGTTCAAAATGACTTCTAACAGACGTTCTAGAGGAAAATCGCTTCACGGAGCGAAGTAGAACACGTTATAGGAAAAAAAAGGCAAAGCGTAGCGACATCAGAATTTAAATTGTCGCAGTATTTAGAGAGATGGACAGAAAAATCAAACGCGATTGTAACAAGCATCGTTATCAATTGCAGATCTTCTTCCACGGCTCGAAGATGGCGTCTCTCCACAAGCATGTCCCAGCCTCCCACCTGCCCAGCAACTACGGCGGGGAACTCCCAGCAGTGGACTACTCCTCCGCGGAATGGTACCCCGTACTGCGCGACGTAGAGCCCTTCATCAAGACCTATGACAGCTACGGATTCGCCAAGAAGACGTAACGCTCACAACTAGTAGACTGGACCACACACTGTAGATGACGCTTTGACATCAGCCATGACGTGGCAGCATATCAGGTTATACATTTTTGTTGAAAAACCTATGACAACTAATATAAAATACCACAGTGTGTGACTTGATGTGCCGTCGTCTGTACTATTTGAAGGCTTTATGAAAAAGATGTTATCGAATGGGTTTTAGACAAATGTTCACTTTAAATCAACTTGTGTGATGCCTTTTGCGCCCATTACCTTAAGTGTGGGGTTTATAACATTTAATATTCTGATACAAATGTTGCAAGTGTTTGTAAAGGAATAGATTATTTAGGTAAATATTTATATTTAGTGTAATCTGAGCACCAGTAGTATAACAATGATTACTAAAATCTAAAGGTTTGATATTCCAAATATGTGTTAAGAGTAGAGCAATATTTAGAGAGTATTTCTTTAAGATGCTAAAATGCAAATATTTTTATATTGTTTATGAACTGTGTGAATAGGTCTGAAAAATACAACATAAGATAGCTGTGTTATCATTGTATAAGTTGTTGTAGCGTATTTTGTAAGTTTAGAGTAAACAGTTGTTTGAGTAGTACAAGGGATGTGATTTTGAGCGGAACTCATGACATGTTTGTAGAAGAATATTTAGAATCAATAGAGGACATGTTTTTTTTACATTTTTATTGTACCAGGAGACGTATTTACCTATAAAGCATCAAAATTCATATTATAATAAATCACATACGACCTTTTGTACGATTTAAAATATCAAAAAATACTGTATGACAAAGANGGCAAAGAATAGTGAAAGTGAAACTGAGCTCAGTTTTAGAGCGATTGTTGATAAAAAAATTGTTCTCTAGCGAATGCGTGTATGATGCTAGTTTCCATTGTGGACAGCATCGAGGCTGTGAATGTTCTAGATGTGCCAGTTAAGTACCATATTCATTATAGTGTAATATCATGACATTATACATGGTGTGTTTTTTAGGAGTTATTACGTGTAAACGATGCCAGAATGTGTATTGTAGGAACTGAAATGCTATCAGTTTAATATTCGCCAACCTAGAACATACCTACGCATTTACCACAGTAACTACAAATATATGCAATGATATTGTTATATACAGGTTGATCCATTTCAGTTCGGTAATTTATGGGGGTGGGAATTTTATGAAAAAATGTGCTATTAAATGTGCCTTGTATTTTGATAAATCTATGAAGTGCCTTGTCATTTGACACGTGTGTTTTGGAACGATGCATTCCAATATTATGTATTTAAATGTTTAATTATACAGGGTGTTAGGTAAATGGGTATATGAGCCGACACTAGCCCATGTTAACATGGTCATATAAATGGTGTGGTGAAGTCAGAAATTTGATATCTTCATTTTAATTATTTAATTTTTCATACAAATCTGATTTTATAAAATTGTTTTGTATGAAGATTAAAAAAATTAAAATGATGATATCAAATTTCTGTCTTCACCATACCATTTATATGCCCATGTTAACATGACCTAGTGTCGGCTCATATACCCATTTACCTAACACCCTGTATATATTTACTTGTAAGGCGTTTTGTACTTCGGATATACACAAACTATTTACCAGTAATATCGCCGGAAGAGCCTACATGCTTACTGGACTAAATGATACCTGAATTGCTCAAGTAGTTAGTAACTTGGAACCTGTTTTGTTTCGGTTGAAATATAAGTAAAGGTCATTGGTAATAATTACGTAGTTTTCTTTTCACAACTCCTTTAGTATGCTCGCCGGTAATATTAATGAAAATATTTACTATTTTACAATTGGTATTGATTTTATTTTGTTACAAAATCGATTATGTTTGAACATAAAATGTCACAGGATTAGCTTGATTGATGTGGTCCTTACAACACGAGCATGGCTTAGTCTGTTTAGCTAAACCAAGATTTTTCACCTCAGATCATAGAAAGGGAATAGATATGAACTCGCGTGTAACTACAACGAGAACCAGTGTCCCCACATTTCCCCCACCACAGCTCCCACACACACATTCAACTGTGTAAAAACAAAGCGACTGAGAGTCTACGACAACATGTGCAACCGGCTTAAAAGTGCTGTGATTGGCCAGAAGGGATGCCTTATGGCCAATCAATGGCCGCGTGACGTGACGCACACTTTGAAAAAAGCAATTAGGGAGAAGAAAGATAAAATGGAGTCGATAAGATATCGATACTTTAAATCCTGGGGGCAAGGCTCGAAATTGGTTTCAAAAATGCTTATGTATGAAAACTTTTTATTATTATATGTTATTATTATGTTCTTTAACGATTTTTGGATAAAGGAGTCAGTTCCATTTTGTATGGACGAAAAACTCAGAAACACAGAATTGGGACTAAATGTAGTTTTACCTTATATTTCACATTTATTTTTACCCTAACCAAAGCTCAATGTCGTTATCAATGGAGTATAGAAGCTATAGACTGACAAAGTTTGTATGAAAGGTCATGGGTTAAGTAGGTACTTGTGATTTTTACCAGTATTTACAATATTGGTAATATATTATTATTTACTTTAATAATAATAACAGGATCACTATAATTATTATTAACTACTATCGCGCATTAACTTTTTTATTATGGCGAAATTCGTACCGCCTATGTTTATCAAAAATAATGCATATATTAGGCTTTCAACTAGCTCTTATAGTCATTACATAGTTTACAGTTACNGGTGGGCCCTTGGGCCACCCCTAAGCCGCCTATTTAGTTTTATACACACATAAATGACCTCATATTAATCACATTAAACAAATCATGCGGTAATTATTCATAATAACCGGCGATTATTCATAATTTTCACATTTATCACTTTGACCGTAACATATTTACTTGTAAGGCGTTTTGTACTTCGGATATACACAAACTATTTACCAGTAATATCGCCGGAAGACCCTACATGCTTACTGGACTAAAAGATACCTGAATTGCTCAAGTAGTTAGTAACTTGGAACCTGTTTTGTTTCGGTTGAAATATAAGTAAAGGTCATTGGTAATAATTACGTAGTTTTCTTTTCACAACTCCTGTAGTATGCTCACCAGTAATACTCGTAGTAATGAAAATACTAATATCTATTGTATAGTCAGAGGCAACTTGATTTTTTGTTGCAAAATCGATTTTGAACTACCCACCTACATAAACCTCCTTACAACACAATTAGGTCAGTCTATCTAGACAAGATCAGTCGAGTAATTAAGAAAAGTATACCTACCTGTTTTCTAAATTTCTTGTATCTCTCTATCATATTTAATACGCTATCTACAATTTTACAATTTATTAAAAGAATAGGTACCTATCTTAACTGTATATCTAACTATGGATGATCAAACGATTAATTATTATGATTGATCTCTATAAAATACCTAGCTCTTACGACGACTTTTTACGCCCGTATTCACAAACGATGCTTGCTTAAGTGAAGTAGCAAATCGAACGCACAGCGTTGAATAGAGCTCTGTGATTAGTTCGTATGTCACCCTGTGCATTCAAGCGCACTGTGAGACCTCAAAGTAATGTTTGTGAATACGGGCGGAAATCATCTATTTGATGTGGCTATTCGCCTGTAAAAAATTACATGGCAAATTATTGACTATGTGATGTTGACATAGAGTTTATTGGCTTAACTGTTGGTTAAGACCTAGACCTCGGGTATTCGGCCGCAGTTCTTAGTTTCCACCAGTTAGGCTCCTGTAGCGGATGATTGACATAGTGCCGATCAAGACCCAACTGCATACTTAGGGATATCGGTGATGTACGAGTAAGGTGATGAAATGACACCTTTTCTGGGGCGGACTCGTCACGTTCCATCCTTGAGTCCCGAGGAATCCACACTCGCGATGGCAACACTAATATGAGAGGAGAAGGCGGTAACATTTATGCTAAGGGAACTGACTATGACGGACAACTTTGCAAAATTAACACTACTTTATACGAGTGTATGTAGAGTCGAGGAACTCTAAGCTGTTACTGATCTTATTTGCATAATTTTAACCAATCAGGCAATCCGATATGTAGGATTAAAGATTGATTCTTCTAATTAATTGATTCTTTGAAGTAAGTAGAGGTAGGTACGAGAAAAATAAACATTTGAACGCCTGTTAGTACTATTAATGCAAAATTACTTTGAGTTGTCGGTAAACGAGAATTTTGTTCAGAGGCCATTTTGTTCTATCTAACTAATGGTTAACCAGTATATAAATAAAAACTAAGAAAGTAAATTGATTAAATTTTTTGGCGTGATATTTAGAGTTTTTTTGACTAAAGCCTCTCGTAGGTGAGGAACCTTGGCACTAACTACGTAAAAATACTCGTAATGATTGGATAGCTAAGTACGTAAAATAGTATGAAATTACAGACTGCGGTATCGGATATTAGTTGTTTCGAATGTAATAAATGCATCTTTATACCTACTGCTTGCTCGTGACTAAGTACCTTCAAGAGCTACTAAAATATTTTTAGTGTCCAAAGTTACTCAATTAGTTACTAAGTAGGTAGTACCCAGGTACTGTAAAAACATTTCTTACATTGAATATTACTTAACTAATTTCAGAACGCTACCATCCTTATCTTTAGGTATAACTTTATAGGTGTTCTTTAAATTATAAAGTTATTATTTACTCCTTGATTTGGAGAAATCTATACTTATAATAAATCTGTAGAGAGGTCAATTCTGTACATGAAATATATTTTCAAAATAACTATCAGGGGGTGATTAGTGATCGATACTGATGCCAAAAATGCAATCAGTAAAATTTTTGTCTGTCTGTCTGTCTGTCTGTCTGTCTGTCTGTCTGTCTGTCTGTCTGTCTGTATGTTCCTTATAGAAACAAAAACTACTCGACGGATTTTAACGAAACTTGGTACAATTATTCTTCATACTCCTGGCCAGGTTATAGGATACTTAGGAATTCCCACTCGAACGGGAATTAGCGGGTAAATCCTTTTGTATGAAAAATCTAAANCGGAGAACATTTCCTCAGTACGACTGAATCGCGACTAACCTGGCGTCGCGGGCGATGTTCGTTTTTGGGCATATCGCGGAGACACGCGCCACGCCCCCGTTTCACATCTATTCCCTTCTATGATCTGAGTTTTTCACGGTCGAGTAATTAAGAAAATTATACCTATTTTTGAAGTTTTAACAACAATTTAATAAAATAATATCTTAAACTCTATATCTAACAATGAATAATTTTATCATATTTAATATTTTAAACTATTATGTTGCATTTTTTACTATAAAATTATCACTTCACGGGATTTATTGCAACAATATCTATTTTAACGGTAAATAATATTTACCCTCCCGACGTTTCGGCTCGGTTGCACGAGTCATGGTCGCGGGCAGACTGAAGAGATGCGAGATGAGAGAGAGGGTAAATATTATTTACCGTTAAAATAGATATTGTTGCAATAAATCCCGTGAAGTGATAATTGTATCATATTTATCCAACCACGATTGATAGATCTCTTACGACGATTTGAAATCATCTATTTGGTGTGGTATTCTATTCGCCTGTAAAAAATTACATGGCAAAATAATGGCTATGCTAGTGGACATAGAGTTTATTGGCTTAACTGTTGGTTAAGATCTAGGCTTTGGGTATTCGGCCGCAGTTCTTAGTTTCCACCAGTAGCAGGAGTGTAACTGGTGACCAGTTAGACTCGTAGCGGATGATGGACAAACGCCCGTATTCACAAACGATGATTGCTTAAGTGAAGCAGCAAATCGAACGCACAGCGTTGAATAGAGCTCTGTGATTGGTTCGTGTGTCGCCCTGTGCGTCCACGCGCACTGTGAGACCTCATAGTAATGTTTGTGAATACGGGCGATAGTGTTGATCAAGACCTACTGCATAGATTACCGGGATATCGGGGATGTAGGGTGATAAATGACACCTTTTCTAGGGCGGACTCATCACGTTCCATCCCTGAGTCCCGAGGAATCCACACTCGCGATGCCAACACTAATATGAGAGAAGAAGGTGGTAAGATTTATGCTAAGGGAACTGACTATGACGGAAAACTTTACAAAATTAACACTACT